TTAAATGCATGCCATGAAAGACTTCGGGTCTTAGGAGGTTAACATTGCCTTTAGTGTATGAGGCTATTTATGTGTCACACCTCAAAGAAATTATGGCTCCTTATGTTACAGTGCATAAAGACAGTGAGCATGAGTCATTCCTGCTGCTGACAGAGTTAAACTTTAACATTCCTGTTTGAGGCCGATACCATCATGTTAAAAAGGAAGGAGCCATTTAGAGTTCAAATGCTAGCTTCTCAGTTGTGGCAATGCATGCCATCATTGAGATGATGCTTTTTAAATAGAAGACCTTGCTTATTTTAGCAAGATGTTAGCAAACTACAATCTGCCTATGTTACACAATCATGAATACATTGCAAAAAGTCTAGTTGCTAAACTAAAATAGAACCCTCCTCTTGATAATATAAAAGGGTCCTATAGTCTAAACATGTTTGCTAATTTTGCTTCGCAGGATGATTTTGAGCCGGATCCTCGATATAGAGAGAACATTAGGAGGGTATGTGATGCTGTTTACATGGCATGAAGATTTTTGGACTAAGCTGCCAAAGATAAATGTGTTAATGCATTATGTTCTTACTTTATTTACTGGTTACTTGTGTGATGTTGTCTGTGTGCGATACAAAAACTAAATTGCCGTTAATTCTGTAGTCCATAAAGACAATAAAACATAGTCAGGCCTGATGCCAGCTTAGCATGACACAGCTAATCTTTGAATTTTGGGGGGATATTGCATCCTTCAGGCTCAATAACAGAGAGGAACATTTATCTCACTACAAGCACATAATTTAACAGTCAGTGTTCATGATTGTATTGTACACAAAAATGATGATTTTTTTTGTGAAGCGACCAATGCCAAACCCAGATAATATGCTTTAAAAGACAGCCTTGCTTATTTCAGCAAGTTATTGCCAAACCACATTCTGCACGTATTTCAGGAGCTTTTTTTGTATTAATTTTTTATATTATTATTATTTTCCAGGATAATTTTGCAATGGCTCCTCCAAACAGAGATTATAGAAGAAGGGTACGTGATGTCATTTAAAGTTTTTGAGAGTGAGGTGTAATCATACTGGTGCTGGGCAAATGATAGAGATGGTATTCTTATAATGTTAATACAAAGTGATCATATTTTAATGCATTCAGGCTTAAATTGTCTCACACAGAAAGATATTATGTGT